AACAGATCCTGATTACAACGAGACAAGCAAAAAATTCTGAGATTAAAGAAAAGAAATGTAGATTAAGTGAAAATTCTGAGATTAAAATGAAAAAATTGAAGATGAATTAAAGATTCTGAGACTAAAGAAAAGGCTTTTTGAGAAAGTGTGAGATTACAGTAAAAAGTATGGGATTAAAGTGAAAATTGAGTTTATGAGAAAATTTTGAGACTAATTGAAAGTTTTGAAAAATACAATTTGGATATCAAAGCCTAAATTCTGGGATTAGAGTAAAAATATGGGAGCAATGCCTACATTTCAGGGATTACGTTCAAAATTCTAGCTAAAAAAATAAGCAATGTTTAAAACCAAAGCGAAAATAATGAAATTACAGTAAAAACATTTGGTATAAAAGTCGAAATTCTTAAATTAAAGTCTATTCTAGATTTTTCTCATTAATTTGAAAATTCTTGGCTCAACCACAGAAAAATCTGGGATTAAATTCTAGACGCTGGGATTACAATTCAATAATCTAGGGTTAAGGTCAAGTGAGGAGTGTATTATTTACACATGGAATATCACAATCCGGCGAGGAGCAGATCAGCTTCCTGTCTGAGTGAGATCTGAGAGCCAATCAGAAAGCCTGCTGTGTGGTCAGGCACTGCTGCTTGCGTTTGTCACCGCGGAGCGTTCAAGGACTCCCGGCAGAGAGGGACGTCTGACCTTGACGTCATCGGTCTTCGCTAATAAAGGGTTCGACTCGTAAACTCTGATAAAAGCTCTGCACTTGAGCTCGACAAACTCTCCGCAGCAAAAACGCTTTCGAAACAAACGCAACCTTCAAAGAAACCCTCCACACCGGAAACATGGTGATAAAGTTTAAAAGATGCGGATCGAAACTGATCCTCTTACATATCAAGCCCAAAAGTACAGAGCAACAAATGTTTTATGTGTTAAATAAATAAATAAATAAATAAATAAATAAATAACACCAGACAGTAAAACTAAAGCAGGAAATAGCAGAGAAAGAAGAAACTTATGTTTAATAGAAAATTTCTGATTTTTTCAAACACATTTAGCCGGAATCTCATTTCATTGATTAGTTTACATTTATTCAGTTCTCGCTGACCCCACACCTTTTATATTGGGATACCTGGGGCCACCTGGGGATTAGGGATAGCAGCCTCTTTGTATTGTGTTCAGGCTTTTGTGCTTTTACTCTTGTTTTCTTGTCATTTTTTCATGTTTAGTCAGTGCCCACAGCAGCAGCAGCAGCACTGGAGAAATAAAGCTCCATCGATTCAATTATTGATTGATTCCAGATGGTTTTACTGGTGATTCCACACAATGCTCAGAATAGCATGATTCTAAAGTCTTCAGTTTCTTGTGCAGAGTCCTGGGGCGGCGTCTCAGAGTTTAGAAATCAAAATGTAAATAAAACATGTTTGAAGCTGATGTGCACCAAACCCTGGGTCACACCGGAGAGCTCCGCGGCTCTTGCTGCACGTGGTCCGTCTGTAGCTTTGTCAGGGTGAACAAAAGCATTGCAGACGCTGAATAATTGACTCCAGACGATGCAATTGTTAGAAAATGCTGCATCGCCGGAGGAATCTTGGCCCGGTGATGGCTAATCCTGACCAAAGCGGTTGCCAGATGATTAACCCTGAATGTACGGAGTAATACAATAATAATCTGTTTGCATGTCGGCTCACGAGCTCGGAGCGAAGTCTTGAGCTGCCAACAGCTCTTCTGCTCGAGCACTTCAGCCATGAACGCACACGACATGTTAATAACCTCATTACAGGAGACCTTCAGCTTCTGCTCGAGGAGATGGCTCCTAAATCAGGTCCGGATTGCATCTAATCGCTCGGAGATAAAGAGGCCGCAGCAGAGATCTCCGCTCAACTGCGTGTGACATGAAGCTGGAGATCTGATGCTATGGAGCGGATGAACGTACGCACAGCTCTCACGAGAGCCTCCTGACCCCAAGAGACAAACATCGTATCTGGAAGATCCAACTCCAGATCATCATCCCAGAGATTAAACGAGAATCCAGAGAAAAATCTGAAATCTGGTGATTTGTTAAAATTCTGAGATTCCCAGAGATGAACTGAATAAAGGAGGAATTCTGAAAAATATTACATTAAAATGCTAACTCTGAGAGTCAATTATGGAGTCAGATTACAGACATGATCCAGAATTCCGAGATTCGTGAAGCGATTGGAGTCGAAATTGTGAGTTTAAAAGAAAATTGTACGACATTATATTCACAATTCAGGAATTCAAATAAAAACTCTGGGATTAAAGTTAGATTCTTGGGATTAATCGATATTGTGGTCCAGAACTCTATTTTTCACAGTAAACTTCGGAGAACATTAAATTCTAAAATGAAAATTGTTGCAGGATGGGATTAAAGCCCAGTGGGTTAAAGTCAAAAACAATTTATGAGATAAAAAGCTACATTCGGGATTAAATTCACAATTCCGGAATTTGAGTGAATACTGAGATTAAATTCTAGTTTCTGGTTTTAAATTCACAATTCTGGAATTGATGGTAATTGGGATAAAAAAAAACCCAGTAATTTACCAAAGTAAAATTTCGAGATTAAACTTACATTCTGTGAATAAAGCCAGATTAAATTCTAGATTCCGGGATTATAATCAGAAATAAACATCTGAGATAATGAACTTAAACACAGTAAGAATAAAGTCGATCTTGAAGAGAAAAATAATGAACCAAACACTCAATACAATCCATAAATATTAGCACGAAACGCAAGTGTTCAGCTCATTTCTTTACTGCATGATACACACACACACACGTACGTACACGCACACACACACACGCGTACACACGCACACACACGTACGCATGCACACTGACACACACTCGTCTACTTGAGCGGAGCGACGGATCACCGCAGACTCCTTGAGTTCTGACACTCAGGAATGAAAGCAGCTGTGGTGAAGAGCGCGATGGGAACTGCTTTTCAATAACAGGAAGTGGAAGTGTCTTTTTCAAGGACGCTACATTAATATGTGCCCCCCACTCCCCCCCCCCACCCCGAAGTGTTCATCGACGCTTGAGAAGCTGCCCAGACCCCGCTGAACTGAAACATCCCCAGGAAACAACTCTTTCACTCTCTCTGGATCTCTGCTAATCTGGAGACATCTCACCTGAGCGGCCGTGAGGAACAGACGGTGTGTTTGCTCCAGAGAGGGCTGCAACAAGCTCCAGCAGACCCTCGTGATCACAATCAGGAAGCCGGCGCTTCAGATGATGGATGGATTAATAATCTGAGATGCTCCTCCATGTTTTATTGCTAATGTTTGTAATGGCGCTCATATTGAAGCTGGAGAAGCGCTGGTGAGTGCACGGCTCCCTCTGTGTTTAATTGCAAACCTCTGGAAGCGCCTCATGAATCACTGTCTGCTGTTTGTGTGGAGCGAGCATCTTCAGAAATAGCTCCGCTCTCAGCCCAGCTACAATTATCTGCATTTAAAATCCAATTTAGCTGGGTTAAGTGTGCCGAGTCAGGTCTCGGGGGTCTCGAGGCAGGTCGCTCTGAGGGACTGTACATATGACGGCGATGGAGAACTGTGAAAAAACAACTGGTCTTTTATCAAAGAGCCATTCAAAGGAGGCAGGGACGAGGTTGTGGAGTATACCTCATGGAACGAGCTGCACGACCTGAGAAAAAAAAATCCAAATTCTGATCCTAAACTTACGTTTTTGACAATCAGAGATTCTTGATAAACGTTTAATAAACATCTGAATGATTCAGAGGAGAACTGGGGAGTGTGGGAGATTAGACAAAATCCACCTGCCTGTCTTCAACTGGAGGAGGAGTGCTGCCTATGAACCCACAAGCATGGAGATGGAGGCACTGGGATCTGGAGGAGGTCTTCTACCTTTGGCCATGGCGTTATTATTGTGTTTTCCAGCAGGACAAGCGCACCAAACACACAGCCAGTGCGATAAAAGAGAGGCTCAGAGAGGTTTTAAGAGCAAGTAAGAAACAGATGTATTTCACGTAAACATGACTGACAGCTGGGTTCAGGCGTCTGTAAACAGACTGTTCCATTGATTGTTTTGATTCCTCCTAATGAGGTTTAGAAGAGAAGAATCATAAAGCGAGTCACCTCAAGGGCAAAAATCTGCTCTGTGACAAAACGGTCTTCTTTAATTGAGTTTATCCCTGACAGGAAGCTAATCGAAATGAAGCATTGTGCTCATGCGAGCAGACCAGGAGCTTAAATGAATCTCTGTGGGACAGAGTAACCCAAATCCAGAAATACTTCATCCAAGCGGGACGTCATAAGAGCTCCAGCGAGAGCCGTTTCATCAGATCCTTCAGAGCTCCCAAATAAACCTGACATTAATCTCGGCAGCTCCAATATCTGCCTTTATCACCACAGAGAACAGATATGAAGTTTTCTCAATGACACGCGGCTCGAGGAGCCGGAGAATGAAAGAAACCATATCTCAAGCAGCTGCAGATGTGTAATAAAAGCAAGATCTACGAGTGAAACATCCCATAATGCCAGAACCTGTGTACACGGGCTGCTGCTGCGGCGAGACGTTTTCCTTTGTGCGTACACGACCTTTGAAATATTACGTTTATCTCATTCTGTTTGGAATTACGTATGACAGATCTAATGAGATTAAAGGGAGGAATGGAATGCAGAAGCAGGCCGAGAAAAAAGAACAAATGAATAAAACAACTCCAGGGATCCGTCACTCAAATCACCAACAGTAATGACGCAGGGAATACCCCTCCCAGGGAACAGGGGGGGGGGTGTATTTACATGGCGTTATGAGTTTCAGAGCCGTTCTAAATATCACCTGCTCCGACTCACATTTACCTGAGAGTTCCCATAGAAACCAGTCTGAGCAAACATCGCTTTATTGCATCGTGGGCCGGCGCATCTGCAGAAGGGCTGTCGAGGAAAGAGTCCAAAATATGAACCTCTTCACAAATAACCTGGATTTTATCTCCAGTAGAGGAATGGTGGGCCTAGTTAGAGGTGGTGCAGTGGTTAGCACTGCTGCCTCCTAGTTAGTAGGTTGCTGGTTCAAGGCCAGTAGGTGAATGGAGTCTGGTTTGGTTTCGGGGTTGTATTTCCTGTAGATGGCGCTCAGACGAGCTAAACTTGAGTTTTCATATATTGAAATAGAAGTTAATTTAATAACTTATAATTATTAATAATTTGAGGAATTATGAAAAGGCAGATAACAACATGAAAGAATCCTCGGAAAGGATGAAAACAGACCTCTGTCCACATTTACATACAGAACTCTGGATTCAGTGTGTGCTGCAGAGCACCGAGGGCTTGTGTGTGGAGGAGATGTGAGTGGAAGCTCATTCGTCTCCATTACGACTGATTCCAGGAGAAACACATCCATTCACATCAAAAGCTGCTTCATGAAATCGTGTTTGGCAGGCGGCAGGTAAAAGCTGCCATTTAGCATCATCTGCCATCATCCTCTAACCGGCCCGAGATGAAAATGATTCTTAAAACGCCTCTAGCTCCAGAGAGCAGAAGATCTCAGGGAACTCCTGATATCTGCAGAAACTTCACGATTGTTACAAAACGTTTTAATATCTGCATTTTACGTCAAGTTTTGGAATATGTTTCTTACAAAGACAGATCGGGAAAAAACTAAAACCATCAACAATGTGGAAGTCCCACCTGTAACCATAGCAACTGACCTGGGATCGGTACTCACCACAGACTATTTTTAGAGTTTTAACAAGTAATTCTGCAGATAGCGCTCCTCACCGTCAGCTTCAAGATTTAACAGAAAATGCGGCTTTATTTAGCGTAGATATTAGAGACACCATCAGCTAAATGATCAGGGGGTGTGACTAGAAGGACCTCTCTGAAGCAGAGCAGGTAACAAAAAGGGCAAGCTCCTGTGAGTAAAACGCTCCAGATTGAAATGAACGGCTCCTGCGAAAGAAAGCTCTAAAAAGAATAATCTAAAGCTAAACAAGCAGATCTAGTAAAGATCTCTGAATCCAAAAAAGATCCGGACTGCGGAGTTGGAGACATCATGCTCTTATCTACCGTCAGAGCATTAAAACGTAAATCCAGAAGGACAATGACCCAAAACACAGGGAAACAAGCCGAGGGACAAGCATGGCTCCAGAAGAAGTGTGTGGTGTGCTCTAGTCTGTCTCTTGACCTCAATGCCAAGGAAATCTGTGCTTCCACAAAGTTGAGTGCTTCAAAAATCCACAAATGCAACTAAATCCAGCAAATATATGTAAATATAACCCTTCAGTTCTTTACAAAAAAGTGTGAAAAGAGTCGAGTGAGAGCTGCATGGGAAACAATCTCCGGAGCCCAAACTCTCGAGCTCTGCTCAGTATTTGGGTCAGCACAGATTGTGTCGGTGGGGTTTCGATTATTTGTTTATTGCACAAGTGGTGCGAGCGCTCAAGCACATCCTCCTCTCCGCGGGGACATCTACTCGTTTATCCTCTTCCCTCACATTTCACACTAACTGGGGATGCGAGGAAGTGCAGGGGAGTTTTTAACTCATCAAGCAGGATTAATGCCTGGAAGGAAAGTTGGGTCATCATAAAAAAACGGATTTGTGAACACAAACCTTTCTTTGAGGGTCGATACCGAACACAACCCTTGACTCCTCCTCATCTACACGTCTGTTATTAGCTCCACTCCTTTATAAATCATTGCTTGTCGGGATAAGAACTTTCAGGTAAATGCGTCGTTTAAACATCGTACATCACAGATAAAATGTTTTCTTATAATCTCCAGGAACTCAACGCAGCAGAGAGGGGGGACGTTACACCTCAGCTCAGTTATTTGGAAAAGTAGAGAGCATTTGTGGTGAAGATGCAGGACGGCGGAGCCCGAGATACGAACAGCACGTTTGTTTGTGATGGCGGCAGTGACCTGGTTTAAACGCCCATCAGAGGACAGTTTGAGGGAACATGAGCTCAATTCGTTTCACGGCAGGAGCTGTGATTGCGTTTGCCCCAGGACAGATCTGTTCACATCAACACCACAACACACACGATGCAGCCTCCTCAGGGGACACAGCCGGGGAGGAGCTCTCGGAACCTTTCAGTGAATTCTCCTAAACGAAACATTAGGTTTTGGTGATATAACGTTGCCAGGGAGCTGTGTTTAACTGCTCCCCTGTCTCCGGAGTGGGGAACCCACAGGAATATCACTGTAGTACTGGACGCTAAATTTGTGGATTGTCGACCCCTGCAAGAATCTGTTCAGAGAGCAGAGATCAGGGAGATGGGAGTAATGACGTCGACATGTAGCAGTGCAAAGCATTTAAAGCACCGCGATGATTGTATATCGGCTCGCTATTCACAGAGATTCCTCTGCTCTGCCGCCAAACACGGGAATGCTCTAAAACCAAATCAGGAGACTTCAAAATATAACACAATAAACCAAAACAAATGGAAACAGCATCACATTACCTTTACCTGCGCTCCGTAGAGCATTGTTTGAACAGCAGAGGCACCGGGCTAGTGATTTTTATTGAAACTTAAGTTCCATTGGACCGCAGTGTCTGCTGAATTAATTAATGTGGAAGTACAGCATCTGAAACTAAAAAGAACCCAATGAACTAAACAATACAAAGTTAGAAACAAAATCAATCAAAAGAGAAAGAACTGAAACAAAATACATTTACAAAACAAACCCAAATGAAACGGAACATTACAAAATACACAAAAACAAATCACAAAAAAATGAAAGCAAAATCAGAACAAAAACAAACTGATTTTAAATGTACTGAAAAAAATATACAAAATAAAAACAAACCTAAATGAACTGAAAACAAAACCTTCAAACAGAAACAAACTGAACGTAAACTAAAAATAAACAACTGACTAACCGGAGAGAACAGAAAAAAAAATACAAAACCACCCAAAAAAATAAATGATGACGAACCACACAATACACAAAAAGAAAGGGAGATGATAACAAAAAAGAGATAATCTCAAGGTTATGACAGGAGGGGTGAGCGCACCAATAACAAACCTTTGTACTTCATGTCTCCCAAAGAAATATCTGAATAATCAGAGAACGATTTTTTTGAACAGTGGCGATCGCTGGGGTTTCAAGCACTTATTATTTTAGTGATGTTTACATTATTCACATAAAAACAAAATAGTAAGATGTGATTTTATTACCAAAGCCATGAAACTGAAATCAAGGTTTCCAGTACAAACAGAGGCTGAGAGATCTGCACCCCGGAGTAACTTTCACTGTGATTGATGCGTTCTGTGTTTCTGAACCGAGTGCCTTTCACCCGCCCAGCTCTGGCTTTCCAAAGCTCCCTTTAGTGCTGTTCATCAGAAAGTGCTCCTCATGAATAATTCAGCCATTATTAATGAGCTTATGGAGTGTCATAAACGAATGCAGCTCTTCTTTAGAAAGTAATACACTCTGAAGTCATCATCAAAACACTGACCGCAGTGACTTTCAAAGTAAATATAAAACACAAACTTATTCACAACCTCAGAGAGCAGTCAGGCGTGACATTTACCAAACGTGTCCTTCGAGCAAAAACACGGGAAGAAAGTTTCCGTGTTGAGTTTAGTCACTTGTTCTGTCTTCGAGGTAGAGAACATATCTTCCTGCTGATTCTGGAGCTCAGCTGCTGCACCGGTGCATTTCCTGCAGCTATCTGTTTAAACAACTGAAACGATTCCAGAAGAAAGGAATCTGCGCGTACAAGGATTCATCTCGCTGAAATCAAAGAAACTGCTCATCTCTTGATATAAGAGCAGTGCTTTTTTTCTTGATCCAGTGACTCTGTTCCTTCTCAATACTTGGAAATCCCCATCAGTATTCAGCACTCCGTATGAAGGATTTGTGAATTCTGACGGCACTCTGCATGAGTTGATGCTGCTCCTTCGAGCCCATAATGCAACATGTGATCAGAATTCATCTCAGATCAGACGTCTGATAGAACAGAGCACTTTCCCTCAGTAAACAGCATTTCTCTGCTGAATAATGCAGCGAGGAGCAGGACGCAAGACTCTCTAACGCTTGCTGCTAACGTCTGAACAGCCACAAAGCTCTGCAGAACCACTGAAAAAAAGCCACAAAATATAAAACTAACGACTTAAAAAGAATCAAAGCACCAGAGAAACTGATGAAAAAAATGGTATATTTGAAAAAGATAAGATAAACAAAACTGGAATAATATAACAAAATACGACAAAAATAAATCAAATGAAATAATGGGATTAAAAATAAGTAAAATTACAGTAAAGATCAATAAAAATTGAGAATAAAAAAACAAAAAACACTATAGTATAAAATATATAAAAAAACGTAATAAAAATTTTGACTAAATTAATGAGATAAAATGAAATAAAACTGATTAATAAAAATAACAATAAAAAGAAATAAAACAAAATTTAAAAGAGTCCTGCAGGGGGCGCTTTATCAGCGTTCAGGAGCTCCTGGAGGCCCTATGCTGAATCGAGGCCATGGCCAGAGAAAACCTTCTGTCCCCTTGAAACCGTTTCAGGCCGTGCTCCCTCTGCAGGCGCTAAGCAGGTCATCTTCTGACCGAGCGCCTCAGACTCCAGATGCTGATGAAGCGACCGGAACCCCACCCCACCTCTGGCTACACACGGCTTGCAAAGGAGACGGAGCGGTGTCTGCTCCACGGTTCGGGAACGCTTTCCCAGTCGATATCAGCAGCTGAGGCTTTCAGGAGGACATTACAGATGCACCTCTTTCACAGCGTTTGTGGGTTTTAAACTGCGAGTGCTTCAAAGGTCTTTTGTTGAATGGTTTTAAGTAATTAGGAGTGGGATTCATCTCACGAGTGTTTGGCTTGTGAACGCTCTGTTCAGCTCCTTGCTGCAGCTTGTGCTGCGTTAGAAAAGGAAGAAAATGAAATTAAAAGAGCAAAGAAAAGACTATTCGAAAGACTTTTGTACTCGGATGGAGTCGGGAGAGGAAGGAGTCGGAGAAACTGGACAGAGAATGTCTCCCCCCCTCCCTCCACACTACATCAGAAAACTTTAGTTTACTTTCAGAATCAACAGTTTCCATACAGTAGACATATTTACATACTTTGTCGAT